ACCACACGCACTCCATCATTTATCATTTCTATGAATCTGCAAGTGGTACGTGAGATTCAAAAGAATTTTATGCCTTACTTAGGCCAAATATTTGAAGAACTGTGTGGTGATTAGTGACCGTTAGTCTATGATTATTCGGAAATCGTGAGATGCACAGAAAACAAACACTTTGAGCCCTGAAAATGATCTCAATAAAGATCGAAACGTTGGCACGATAAAGAAAATGTTTTTCTGAAACCTAGGTCACACCAGCCCACATCTCACGATTTCCGAATGATTTGAAGAACGTTGTATCTGTCGTAAAAGGAAAATACACGTAGTGAATACTGAACGATCAGGCTGACTCAAGCCCAATTTCCGTCCACAATTACTGTAACATGTCTAAGAATAGTAATGCTTTTCGGATATGAGTTGAAAGTATTTTTTCTCTACAAGAAATAAAAGGCGGACAAAGTTTCTTAAAGCACCACCTTTATAAGTTTTGTCTGAGCTTCCACCTTATCAAAATTGAAACATTTCTACGTTTCTAGAAGCTCGAACAATATCAAACGGATAATCCGGTTTGTCTATAGTTAGAAATGGAAACCCCGATTATTTCTTAATGAATAACTCATGGTATGTTATACGTTTTTATTGATTTCTCACTATATTTCACCAATAAATAGATTCCCTTCACAAAGAAGACATTTGGATCTACGGTAATATTTTTATTAAACTGAAAGACGTTTTTGTTTAAATTTCTATCTGCTCGAGTCCATAGCGAGGAATTAGCCTTCATCACCGTATTCTGATAAATGGTAATGAATTTGTAATTTGATATATTTGTAGATAATTGTATAAATTGGTACAGATAGTAAAACAATCTGAATTGGCCATTGTTACATTTGTCGCGTTAAGGATCCAAATTTGGGGGCCGCGGTAGCCGAGAGACTCTCTGCTCGTAGACCCCGCGGACGTGGGTTCAATTCCCGCCGTCGCCTCTGGCCCTTTTTTCACGATCCCTTCCCCCCAAAACGAATACGCATAACATATTGTCTGGCATTGGCTTATATGCATAGTACATAAAGCAAAAAAAAATCACTATAATCATACAATTCACGCTAATTTTTCTATAAAATCGTTGAACAAAAAATTCAGTGATTTTTGACTTTTTTGCTGAAATTTCATGTTTTAGCGGGATTGTGAGTACTGGACAGTTTTACCCACACTCCTCTCAGGCACTCTCACCACTGGTCTTTGGCCCTGGTGGACCATAAGACGTCACTATTCTCTTCTCCTACCATGTTTTTTTTTTTTTTTTTTTTTTTTTTTTTTTTTTTTTTTTTTTTTTTTTTTTTTTTTTTTATTTTTAAACCATGGGGTTTGAAGAGAGTAGCGACCACCCTTATATATTCTTGTGACGTTATGATTTTTGACCATATAACAATATGACGTCACAGATTTTTCCATCATAGGTTTTGGGTTGGGAACAGACCTTGTTTTACATTATTGTGGCCTGACGTTTCTTTTTCTTCAATCATCATGGGATTTGACGGGGGTAGTGACCACACTACTTTTTTCGTTTGACCTCACGGATTTTTTCCTTGAAACCATCAGGTGTTGAAAAGGGCAATGACCTATTTTTTGGCATGTGACCACAGTTTTCTCTTTCTCCCATCATTGTAGGGTTTGACGAAGGTAGAGACCTCCCTTTTTTTACCGTGGGACGTCACTCTTCGTTTCCTTTCTAGCACCATGGGGTTTGTCGAGGGTAGTGACCACCTTTTTTTGCCGTGTGACGACGGGGATTTTTCTTCCCTCCACCATCATAGGGTATGAAAAAGGAAGTGACCCCCCCTTTTTTTTTGACATTTGGCGTCACTTTTCTCTTTCTTCCATCATCCTGGGGTTTGACGAGTGACGGGTAGTGGACACCTTTTTTTCGCATGACGTCACTGTTCTTTTCCGGTGTTTGTCGAGGGTAGTGGCATTAGATAGTTGAAGTGGCATTTTCTTCATAAACTCAATTGTTCTTTAATTATAATGTAAATATTAGACCACAAATTTGAGGAAGACGTGAAAAAAACCGTAAGAGTCACGACACCTCCTAATTGTGGATAATTGTAGCTGAACTGACCTATTTGGATATTTGAACCTATGGAACCTACAAGCCATCTAATAGCAAACTAGCAATTCACTTTAATCAAAAGCTCCTTTTACCACTTCTATCTACAATACCTTAACCCTTTGTTAAAATAAATCTCTCCCAACCCAGCCCTCCATTGGCCGGCCTTACGTTTTCCGGGTGCTGCGTAGTGATTTAAAAAACCTACAAGCGATCAGTTATAAAAAGAAATTATTCAATCTCTTAGATATTTACATTTTTAAATGGTAGAATCCCTCTCAAATATCACTGGTAAATTGAAATGGAAATTAATATTTTAGAAAGCCTGGGCTTTATTTGAGCCGTCTTTAATCAAAAAAGTTCCTGAGGAAAAAGAATCACCGAACATTAAGATCTATTTGCTCTAGTGACGCAGAATTTCCATTTATTTTACATGGACAAGAAATTGATTATGTAAAGTTCGTTGGTAGGAGACTCAAAAAATTAGGTTTGTACAAGAGAAACCTATAATCGATGTGGGATAAATTCGGTATTCCGAATTTGAAAAATTTCAAAATTTGGTTCAGATGTTATGAAGGTGAGAAGGAAAAAGAAAGAAATAAGATTGTTCAATATTGCTGTTAGAATGGACAGCTAAGAGCACATTTAGCAATTTATTAAACAACACAATACATCTTGTATTGAAATGGGCCGTGTTAAAATTATTCAAAATATTAAGTTTTTTTAAACAAATATTATATATTTAAAATAAGTATTTCAAACCACAAGGCAAAGTTCCTACTTTACTTCCTTCAGTGACTTCTTTTTCTGAGTTTGCAAATTATTCATGAACTTGGCTTAGCTTTTGCATGAATTATCTTAGAACGTAGAAGTTTTTGAAGTCTTATTCTTTCGGGAAAAAAAGATCTCTGGCTTTTATTATAGAAGTATAATATGACTGAGAGCCAAAGAAAATCTTCAGTTCAAAAAGTCCTTGTCAAAGGAATGTAGAAGTTTTCTACAAGGATGACAAACAAGACTAGTTCAATTATTCAAGGACAGAAATTGAGAGAACATCCGTGCTCGAGTGAATTTGGTCATTTTCAAACACTGCTGGATATAGTGATTTGTTTTCGTTACCCTTCTATGCCAGTCTTTTTTATAAATGTAATTTTCTCTACATTTTCTACAATTGTTTTTGTCCTTTTATTTAAAATGTTTTGCTTGAAAATATTTTTCTTCCCCCGAAAGACAACCGATTTTATAACAATTTTCACATCAGATCTGTGTTTTCTCGGACAAATAGAACAAACTTTTAGTATAAGACCAGTACAGAAGTTTTCAAATACAAGGACCAATATTTTTTTTAATAGTTGTCAGATAAGCATCTTTGAGAATGCCAAAAAGCAAATTTGCATCCCTTATGAACGAGTGGTTCATTCACAGCAAATCGGTTGAAAGTTTAAAGAACAAACTATGACCGAAAACAGGATGGTGAAAGCTTTCAGGGAAGATAATTATTTTTATCGTTAGATAGTATTAACTCAAAATTACTATTACTACAAATCTATTACCATTTTTTCTCACTGACCTGCTTTTCGGGTATGATTTTTGTATTACAATTTGTTTCTCTCGAACAATAGATTTGATTGGTTGAAGATGAAAGCTTCGAGGGAAGATAATTATATTTAATATTTCGATTGCAATAACTCAAAATGGATAACATTATTACCACTACAATTAATTAAGGTTTTTAGTTGAGATAAAAAAGTCAATGGCACGAGCGGGATTCGAACCCACGATCTTCGGCTTGATACGCCGCTGCTCACCTGAGCTATCGTGACCTCGATCCACTCGGACACCAACTTCCTATCTCAACCCCACCTTTTGAATTTTCCCTCCTTTTTGCCATTTTTCAAATGTCCTTTTTTATCTCAACTAAAAACCTTAATTAATTGTAGTATATTAATTGGTCAAGCGGACCACGAAATTAGTGAATTTAATTATTAAAAATGAAGTATACTTCACTAAAGCTCTCCGTGGCCATTTCATTTGTCGTCGAGAATCCAACCCGATTACATGACATTTGAAAAATCGCAAAAAGGAGTGAAAATTCAAAAGGTGGGGTTGAGATAGGAAGTTGGTGTCCGAGTGGATCGAAGTCACGATAGTTCAAGTGGTAGAGCAGCGGCGTATAAAGCCGAAGATCGTGGGTTCTAATCCCGCTCGTGTCTTTGACTTTTTTATCTCAACTAAAGACCTTAACTAATTGTAGTATATTAATTGGTCAAGCGGACCACGAAATTAGTGAATTTAATTATTACCACTTTTCTCAATGACCTTTTTTTTCCCTCGGTGCAACACAAATTTACCACGTTAAGGCTTAGCTAATCCCATGAGTCCTTCAATGTATCATCATGTGTATTGGCAACACTGATTTTTTTCAGGACCAATGTAAATCTCCATCTTGGTCTCTTCTATCTCTCTCACTCCGCGTCTGCATATTTTATCGAACGTTAAATTTAGCAAAGATAAAAAATTTCATATACAATATATAATTTAACCCTTTCTTGACCAGAGATGTTTCAGAGCAATGCGGACTTTAGCCATTTTGTTTAAGGTTAGCGGAAACCCCGGTGCCCGTGTATTGGCAACATTGATTTATTTGGCGCCAATTTAACCACTCTATCACTAAACTCACGGGATTTCTCGCTAACCTTTTAAACAAATTACCAATGTTCATCTTGCTACGATTAGGCCATAAAGTGTTAACCTGCAAAGAATTATTAGTACGGTCATACGTACATCCTCAAAAAGATTTAGCTTGATAATTGAAACAATCAACATATCACTTATCTCTTCTATTTGCCAATAGCAAACCTTATTTACATTCATGTTGAATTATGTTTGTTTTCAGTTGATGCAATGCACACCCATCTACGTCGGATGTGACTACCCGGAAAATTACAACCAAGGAACGGTAAGTTAATAAAACTTGGTTTACATAATTTTTAAAAATTCAATATAAAGTATAACAGGAGCGCATTGGTAAAATTGGGAGACGGTTTGAAACTTTTTCATTTCCTGTTTCCTGATCATGTCGCAGTGCAAGTAAGGCTTACATATTACATACTCATCATTTTATTTTATTTTCTGCCGTTATACCATTGCATAAATATTGCCATCGTAAATCTATATGTCAACGGGTGAAACTTAAATATTCCGATAATCACTTTTTATCCAAAACATCCCTCCTTACTGAAATTAAAATTTTTAATTAACCCTTAAAACTGAACCGTATAAAAACAAAATTAAAACAATACTTTTAATTAAACTTTCTAGTTAAATTTGATAAAGCGAAAAGGTTAATGGAAAAGCCCAAAAATAAATCGAGCCCAGACATTTTCCTTGAATGTTAATGATAGGAAATAACTTGTAAATTTTAAAGTTTTAATTATATTTTACATTAATAGATTAATTAGTTTAGCCGGTTCATGAATGTTTCACAGATCTCGAGATTGTCTGTGGAATTTTCTAAACCTTCTCTGAGGAAGAATGAACTCCTTTATGTCATAAATTTAATTAAATTTTAGACAGCTTTTAACTTTTTTTGGAGGGAAAATGTTGAATAAGGATTTTAGAAATACGTTCCTCCACGTCGATTTATATAAATCTATTGTGGAACCCCTGTAAATTATATTCTAACCATACTTTGTAAAGGGCACATTTTATTATTAGTCTGAAAAAGGAGACAGCGGTAGTAGAGGGGTTAAGGCGTCAGACTCTCCGCTAGTAAATCCTGGGGTCGTGGGTTCGATTCCCACCGTCGATTCTGGACTGTTTTCTGATGCCTAAGGGGACCGGTGGCCGTAATTGAAAAAACTTGACACGGCACTCATCAATGGGGCAGGATCGGATCTCAGCGACCCTGAATTTGGTCCGACCCCCTTCGATGAGTTTCTTCGTTGGAATAACACCGGCACACCGGGTGCTCACATTCACAGGCTTGATGCGAGCTACCAACAATGGAGCCAGGAAGGAAGTTCAATAAGCTGTATAATACAGCTGCAGTCCTCATTGGGAAATCCTCCAGTTTCTGGTATCCATAAAAAAAAAAGAAAAAAAAATTGCCTTTACAATGTAACCTGCCTAATGCTTCACATTCATGAAGGATATGTACCGATGTCTCTGGTTCATCTTGACAGTATCGGCATGTTTCTGTCTCTGCTTTACCCATTTTAGGGTGTTAGTTAAGATGGAAGTGGCCGATATAGAGGCCTATAAATTTCCAAATCCTGCCTACAGAAGAGGCCTTCCTTCGCCTTTCTTTTTGCGAGATTTATAAATCTCTTAGGTTGTGTCATATCTGGTGAGGTCTAGTGTTTGAGTTTTTCTTTCTCAAACCAATTTTCCAGTTCTAGCTTAAGTACACACTCCCGAGCACCCAGTTGTGGCTCTGGCCTCCTGGATGAGTGGGTATTTGATCAGCCTGTTTATTTCCTTCTATATCTTCTATTTCCCAGAACCCACTTTAAGGTCATCTTCTTGTGAGTTGCAAGAGCCATTAGACAATTTAGGAACTCCCTAATAGGTTTTGAGTTGAAATCGCATTCAGTGCCTTTATTGCTGTTTGACTGAGTGTATGGAAAGCTGTGCACCTTTCATATGTTTCTTTATTCACTCCTGCACAACGAATTAGTATTGCCTGAACCTCAGCTTGGAAAATTGTTGTTACTGTTGTTTCATCTTCGATGCAACTGTGTAACATATTAGAGCCCACTCTTGAAAATTAGAGCTACCTTTCTTTCAATATACTTTATTACCTATGACCACCTTGGAAGGGTCTGTCAAAGTTGTGTTTTTTCTCTCATTTTCTGTGGTATCGTTATAACCATCTCATTTAATTCCCTTCAGAATTTTGTGATGGTTCCACTTCATTGTGCCTCGTGAGTAGGTTGGCCTTCAGAAGCCACCTTTCCTATTTAAATATGTAAAGGTGAAAGGTCGAGTGCTGTTTCCATTGTTGTAGTGGAGCAGGTATGCATTACCCTTGTTATATTAAGACATGCTAGTCTTTACAGACTATGTACTTGTTATGTGTCTTCTTGTACAGAGCTAATACTAGAACTCCAACCAAGGTTCGGACAGTTCTGGTGTGTAACGAATACGGATCCTAGGGTTTATTCCTCAGCTTTTGCTGCATAACCTCTATCCTCTTCGAGTTAAATTAAATTAAGCAGGATTAGTGTTAGGGAAGGGTAACGCTAGATTAGATAGGGGATGGGTTATGTTAGGTAGATTAGTGATTGGGCAAATTTAGGTGGGGTTAGTGTTTTAGGGTCGGGTTCTGTCAGGTTATGTAGAGTTAGTGTAAGAAAGGGAAGGGGTATGTCAGGTTAGATAGATTTAGAGTTTAGGGACCGGTCAAGATAGATTGTGTTGTTAAGTTAGGGAGGGCTCCGAATCATGAAGCATCAAAAGAGTTTGGCTACTATAACTAAAGACAAATCAACTAAAGTTAATACCTTTCAATTAATTAAGGTTCTTTTTAGTTAAGAAAAACAGTTAGTGTTACAAACGGGATTCGAACCCACGATCTTCGGCTAGATACGCCGCGGACCTCGATCCACTCGGACACTAACTCAACCCCACCTTTTGAATTTTCCATCTTTTTGCCATTTTTCAGTTTTTCTTAATTAATTGAAATTCTTAATTAATTGGTCAAGCGGACCACGAAAACTAGTGAATTTAACAAATTAAAATGAAGTATGCCTTCACTAAAGCTCTTCATGGCCATTTCATTTGTCGCCGAGCATCAAATAGATTACACGACATTTGAAAAATGGCAAAAAGGAGGCAAAATGCGAAAGGTTGTAGGTTAGATGAGGAGTTGGTGTCCGAGTGGATCGAAGTCACCGTAGCTCAAGTGGCAGAGCAGCTCGTGACACTGACTTTTTTATCTCAACCAATGCCTTACATAAAGGTTAATTAATTGAAAGAGGATATTTGGTCAATCGGTCCACGAAATGAATGGACTGAACAGAATATTTTTCGAAAGAGTGGGGGGAGTCAGAAATTCCAAGAGTGTCGGGGGGGGGGGTAATCGAACCCACGTCCGTATATATGCCGATATTATACCTAGAGACTCCAGCCAAAAATTAACATTTTTTAAAAACTACAAGCTTCGTAGTACACTGACTTTTTATCTCAACTAAAAAAAACCTTAATTAATTGAAAGATATTAATTGGTCAAGCGGACCACGAAAACTAGTGAGTTTAAAGTTGAAAGTTTAGGTTTCTCGATTTTTTTCCCGACAACGCCTAAATATATATTTTTCTTAATAGGAGGAGAGAAGTAAAACTCTACATGTATTCATCTGTAATAAAATAATTGTTTTGTAATTCTTATAAGCCACGTTAAATAAATTCTCTCAAAATCATTTGAGTCGAGTGCTTTTATTTAATTCACGATGGTTTAGTTATAATGAAGTGGAAAAGGGTGGAATAAGCTGATGAAATTATATTTAAACAAATGCTTTCACAATTTAATGAAAAATTTGTTTATTCATTATTTCAAAATTAATTATTGGCCGTCCCGGCTTAGAATTTGATTAACGTAAATTGTTAAAAATGCCTCCATTTTCCGCAATTAATGTCAAATTAAGACCCGCAAGAGGATTTCCACAGATACCCGCACTATGCGGCGAATGGTGAAACAATAATGGCATCATAGAATATAGTCGGAACTTTGTAGGAATTGTAGAACAATGGGATTCGTCCCACCCTCTTTCTCACCCTCTCTCCTTCATTACAGTACCGATGCGTGGTATTCGGGGGATGATGACAAAGCTATTCATTTGTCATTGCTTACCCCTTTCATCTCCGAAACGAACAAAATAATTAACGGTATCCACTACTTGAATTTTCTCGATCATTGACGTTTTATTGAAGTCGTGTTGGTTCAAAATACGAAGTCCTAAATAAAAATTATATCGAACTTGAAGCACAAATCGTGAAATTTCATGTCCTCCCTGATTCTAATCTCGAAGGCGTCGAGGAAAGGCGTCATTTCTCCCTTCCATCCGAAAACATATTTCAAAGGGCTGCGATCACTTACATGTCTGAGGTATTTTGTAGTGAAGAAAATGACAGATCATCGATTGGTCGGGAAGGGTCCCATTCCTCTCGCCCTTTTATTTCCAGTCTATCTATCTTTTTTCCTGAAAAGGGGAATCAACGAGGGTGAAGCGCACCGCGATTTGAAAATATCACCCTTAATTTGTCGCCTCCCGAATACCAGAGAAACCGGGGGGGTATTAATTTTTTATTTATCACACCTGTCCATTTTAGAAAGTTTAACCCCATTCATTTTATTTACTTCACCAGGAGATTCTTCTGTAGTCACATATAATACAGTAAAAATTTCAAATACTAAATAATTTTCACTAAATAAGTGGTTTAGAAATGTTTTTAAGGTGACAATAATAAGTAATTCAATGTCAGCATAATTTTTTATATTTCAAATGTTGAAATAAAACTAGATTTTTTGCACATACAGGAGTGGAAGAATACGTAAAAGCGTATGCTTTTCTAGGTTAAGGGGCAGCTGCATCACTAATAGTTCCTTAAGCCAGGAACACACTTATCCGATGCTACGCCATGCGACGCTACCCGATGCTACCCGGCGCCTTGCCACGTTTTGGTGGGGTGTGGACATCTATCCGACGCAAGCACACGTCGCGTACAGTCCACAGCGTTTATCACAATAATCACCATCACAATCGCAACGCATCTTTTGTTTTTAATGCACTATTTTGAGCAATACCTTGTAATAAATTGTTTTTAAATTTTATGAGCACAACCATCTAATAAATTGTTTGTTAAACTTAATTGTTTTAAATAAAGTTACTCCTAACCATCTAATTAAACAATGTTTATAAAAACTTATGCATTTTTGATCTCGTTTAATTCGGTTTACATTAAAATAACATGTTGTAATTAATATAACGACACAATTACATGTACATAGTTTGAAATAAACTACAAAAATATGAGTGTCCTGTTCTGATGCTACCCGAC